AAGAAGGAACTGTGGGACGCAGTAGTGAGATTCGGGGAACCGCTCCTCATAGGAACGGGCCTGGATGAGAAAGCAAGAAGAGAGCTGCTGAACAAGCTAGTGGAGCTGAGGAATGCACGATCGAAGACTAGAAAAGAGAAATGTGAGGACAGCTCTACTCTGAAACAAAAAACTGTGGATAAAATGGTTGATGGTATAAAAAGGGATAAGGCTGGGACTAGTAATATGATTAAAAGTACTAATATCCTTAAGGCTCGAGCAGGGGGGAGGCAAGAGTTGGAAGGAGTGGATGGAGAGGTCGAATCAATGATGATAGCCACAACACCCTCGAGCAGAGATGTGAAGACTCGCAAGAGGAAGAGAGAAGTGGAAGGATGGGGTAGTCCTTCAGTGGATGCTGTTTCGGAAGGAAACTTGAGAGAGACGGCGCCCATCGTTTTGGCCCGATGCAAGACGGCGGCATACAAGAACAGCTCGGAGCTCAGGAAACCACTTGAAGTAGAAAAGGAAATAGAGGTTTCCACCAGTTCGACGTCAGAAGAAGACTTCAAGCCGCAGAAGGTAAACGTGAAGAGAGGTTCAACGAACGGACAGGTAGGGGAAGTGGAGATCGGCAAAGAATGGATCTCGAAGGCACATCAGGACATGGGCAAACAAGTGACGAGTGATCCATTGGAGAGGAACAAGACGAGGAACACTTCCCGGATGTGGTGGGTGGCCCTCGAAACATTGAAGGAAATGGAGGACTGCTTGAAGAAGTTGGACAGTGGAATAGCTCGCAGGCGACGCAATTGGGCCACCCAGCAAAAAGCCGAGGTTAATAAGATAGAGATGGCAAGTCATCTGAAGAGGTCCTGGCAGAGTTTGTTGAAGGATCATTTTGAAGAGGCGATGAGAACATCCTCATCAGCACCGCCACTAATGGCGAATCCCTTCGTTAGAACTGCGGGACAATTAATGTTCACCTGGAGTCTGGTGGGAATAGAGTTGGAGACATTGACCTCATATGACAGGCTGAAGTTGGGAAGCAAGAAGCTAGAGGTGTATCAGGCACTGATGCAACACGTGGCCAGGGACAATTCAGGCTTGAGCCTGGCTAGAAGAAAAGATGCCACATGTTTCTTGAGATGGATAATGTCAATGATGTCTGATAGCACCATCCTGGCATGCCACCAGAGAGCAAGTGGAAATAAAACCATGGAGAGAAGAGTCTCAACGATCATCTTGAACGTATATCAGAGTACAGGAATAGAGAAAGAAGATGGCTCCAGAGTATCCTTGGAGAACCATCGAAAGCTGGACGAGGTACGGAGGTTCTCTAATAAGAAGTTCGAGGAAGAACATGATGTTCACCGTAACCTGGCCTCGTCAGAGCAGTACTCGAGACTCAGCGAGAAGGGAGAATACCAATATGTGTCTGGAGTGATGGGAATAGCCTACAATCCCTTCTTAGACTCAGAAGCTGGAGGAGCCCACAGAAACCATGAGGTAGCGGAGCTACTGAAGTTTTGGACAGAAAGAATAATGGAAATGGACGCGGTGGAAAAAGAGGGGCCGAGCCTGGGCCTGATTCTTGAGAAAACACCAGAGGTGATAAGCATACCGCGCTCAAACAAGAGAGTTGAAGTGAACATGGGCGGTGGAAATGGCTTGTTAACCACGAACTTGGGAGTGGTATGGAAGCTATTAAGACCCTCCTGGTGTCCACTACCCATGCGAGTCTGATCGAGGAAACCACTGAGCGAGTGAGGTTGGCACCAACGGAAGATGAAGATCTGGCGAAGTTGAGTGTGCTGCATAAGCTAATCACGCCCCAGATGCAAGAGCCAAGCGAAAGGACGAGCGACCCAGGGTCAGCAAAGAAATTGGAGCCGGGTAGTTGTCTGGATTCGACGTGTGGGAACGGAGAGCACATCTGCGATGGACGGTCATGCGTCAGAATACTGTCGTTTCAAAAAGAAGACCTGGTCACTTGGTTCGAAGACATCACAGAAAGGGAGAAAAGTGAAGTGCAAATAATAGCGGAATGTTACGCGAGAACCACGGTGAATATAGCGACAGCTCTCGGATTCTTCTCGAGAATGTGTGGTCTGCAGGCACTGGAGAGATTGGAGTCTGAACATCATTTAGTGACGGCGTTGAGCGTAGAATCATGGCCCGGGGTGTTGCAGGTGACTCAAAAACACATCCGGAGCTGGAAGGTTGGTCTTGAGGCGGAAATGGGATTTCCCTTGAGCGAAGCTTATGGCTTGCCATTGAACGCGAAATCGCTGATAGGGTCAATGATGGCCAACTTGTGCGGAAGTCACTACCCGCTACACATGGCGATGGTGGAAGTGTCCAGCCAGAGAATACTGGTGGACAAGGCCTTCTCAGTGCCCAAGTGCGTGAGGTTGGCTCGGATGTCGCATCACTCGCACAAGTTGTTGAGAAAAATCAAAGGGACAGTACCAAAAGAATTGAGAGATGACTTGAGTGAAATCTGGGGAGAAGATCTTCTGAAGTTGGAAAGAGAAAACACGAGCGATCACGAGAGACAAAATGTGATCGGAAAACCTGTGGGAGGTACTCCGAACCTGGAAGATAACGACACGATGCACGAGAAAATGATGGAGATTGAGCCTCTCTTGGAAGCCTCAGGGGAGCGTAATCTCAGGAGCATTGAGATCTCTCATGGGGAATGCCCATGCCACTGTTTGGCACAAACGGTGTGGTACCCAGATCACAAGAACCTTTGCCTGGTGTGGGACGTGGAAGAGATTCGGTCGATCGGACTACCGGATCACCGGCAGAAGGTGACGCTCTTAGTAGTGAGTACGATGTTAGCTCTGAGATGGATAGAAGAGAACATAACGAAGTATAGGGAGGCGACGACGCCAACGGCTGAGTCAATATACGCGATAGACTACAGCAGGAGACTTGAGTTGTTGGAGACTGCGTGCAAGGTATTCGCCATACCGATGGAAGTCAGACACGTATGGAGCCGCTTGAGGTACTTTCCGTGGTTTCGGGCGACACTGACGTCTTGGTTGTACATGACAACGAAAGATCACATGAGAAAATATCAAAAAGAGTATCGACAGTTCCAGGCCGAGATTGGGCCGGAAGCTTTCAAGAGACCCCTGCTAACCCATCGTAATGCGATCACGACAGGATGGAAAAGAGTGGGCAAGATGTCTAGAGACAATACCAAAGCGAGGGAGTCGATACTAGAGGAAGACCTGGCGAAGAACGTGAGCTTGAGCCTGCACAACTCCTTTTGCTTGAACCGAGAAGCTAGGGTGAAGGCACTACCCAACCAAGCAAAGAGATTGCAGGAGCAGAGAGAATGGATGCGATCCTATGAACAGCTGAAGGCTTGGGAGGAGATTGTGATTAGTTCCGATGATGAAGAGGAACTGTTGAGACAGTTTGCCGCATCTAGCACTTCAGGATGCAGTACCTCCAAGACGAAGAGTACGAGATGAATGGGCAAATCGGATGGATCTTGAGTCTTGAGAGGGAAGGGGGGCTTGAGTGTGAATCCGAGTGAAACTTGGATCCACGAAAAAGAAATTTTAACAAAGCAAATATTGTTACTAATATACTATATTTATTATATAAATCGAAATGCTGCATGACAATTTCCTGATTGAATAGGACAAAAGAGATTTTTAAATGATTGGCTTGAAAAGCGAAAATTCAAGGGTGCAGGTGTATGCAGATTTTGGTTGCTGTTTAGCAATAGTGTGAAAATTTTAAATGGCTGTGAATTTTGGGGTGTAGATAAGCTTAAGTCTGCTGCAAACTTCTGTAAATGACCACTGGCACTGTATCTTGAGCAACACTCGGTTTTTCTGGGACTCACTGGCAGAAGACAGCACGCGATGAGGACATCGATCTCGAGTCCGGGGAGTATGTGCCAGTCGGTCATATTTGGAAGTTTGACCTTGAGAAGAGCAGAAAACACTTGATTTTGGAGTGAAATTTAATTTTTCAAAATTTCGAATGGAACATGTCATGCACGATTTTCTCGCGATAACTGAAAATCAGAAAAAGAAATCAGAACAATTTTAGAACAATTGCGGGAAAGTTGTCAGATAAAAACGAGTGGGAAATTGCTATTCGCAATTTCCATCATAGTGAACAAGAGTAGAGCTGTCCTATCTGAAATAGAAGACAGAGTATTCCCGAGAGAGTAATTATTCGAACTGGACCAGAGTGAACCTTCGACGGAAAGGTGGACAGCTTGAGTGTCCCAATGGTCCACATAAAACTTCGTTCTTGAGTTCAAACTTACCCTTACCATTCAAACTGATAAACATTGAACTTATCTAGTTACTTTAGTTAATTCTAGAGTTGCTCACCCATTTAATTACTTCCTGTGCTTGAGCGCATCAACATGTGAGTCCTTAATTTAAATTTCTAGAGTGTGTTTTATGATTGTTATGTTGAGGTAAGGCGAGTTTTAGGTTGATCCATCTGAAATGGATCAAAGTTCCACTGTCTAATAAAAAAGCAACTTAACGGATTGTTCCAACCCGGTTTTTAACGGCGTTCATGTATTTTGGGTATTTTGAGACCTAAGTATGGGGACGTTCTTAATTCTAGAGTGGGGGGATATTTTGGTAGTAGCCTTAAGCAGTAGCGGGTCGTAGTCTCATGTCACAAGCGAACCGAATTGGCTCCGACTGATTTGAGGCGGAAAAACACAAGAGATAGTGTCCCTGACTCCTGAGCCAATAGTTATAGGGCCTATTTTTCTTAAGCCTCATGTGTGACTGTAGTAGACGAATGTTACATTCTCGTCTGTTTTTCTGAGATTGAACTTTTCGTATTTGGTATTTGGCGTTTTTTTTCGGATCAATTGATGTCCAACTAAGTGTTGTCCGTCTTAATGATTGAATTAATTTTGATGTGCAAATAAAGTGTTTTTTTTTAACAAACTTATGCTCTCAGTCCTGTTCTATTTTAAGTCTCTCTCTCTCTCTTTCTATCTCAGATGTCATATTTTTTCTTTCAGATTACAGAATATGGATGCTGCTGAGCGGATTAAAAAACTTGAAGATGAAATTTCTCGTCTCAAAGGGGATATTGTCAGAGTACCGATAGAAACCATGAGTGCTGAAGTTCGGGACAGCAATCCGTATAGGTACAATTTTGGACGGCTTCTAGAACTTGCTTGGATTTCTTTGAAATTAGGATTTCGCAATTCATTGATTTCGTAATTCATCGACTTCGCCTAAATTACTATAAATGTAACTATTTCAGCCGACTGATGGCGCTTCAGAAAATGGGAATAGTTGAAAACTACCAGGTAGTTACGTTTTTTTATCAAATTAAATAGCAATTTTTAACCCCATCTATTATATGTTTAAATGCAGTCTTCTTTATCTCGCCATGTTTGAGCTTTTTCAACATGATTTTTTGCATGTTAAACGAAAGGATTTTTTCTTTTTAAGCCATACCGTATATTGCATGCTTAAGAAATTTTTCGAGTTTCCAGTTTGAGTTCAGCGTTTACTTCACCAAGTTTGAAATAAGCGACCCTATAGTGGGATGCTGTGAGCTGTGGTTTTGCTTGGGGTTGCGAATTTGGACTCAAATATGAATACGCAAGTCTTTTTAGCTTACGAGAAATTATGATTTTTGTGATTTTTTTTTCAAAAATTTCAAAAAATATGAAAGTCCAAACCTTGTTGATGGGTGATCTCAAGAGTTGCAAATCTTGCCTCCAAAATTGACGCTCAAATATGACAAGTTTTTGAGTAATGATTTTTTATGATTTGAAAATAAAATTTAATGAACTGGACAAACTTTGAAATTTGCAAAGCGTTTGTGGGGTGTTCTCAGATGTTGCAGTTTTTGTCTCCAAGTTTGGTTGCTAAAATAATCTTAGTTTCTGAGATATGCCGTTTTTACGCAAGCAATGCTTGTGTGATAGTATGAACTCTCTTTTTTTCGAACCTAAGCTGCAAATATTAGTGTTCATTTTGAAAGTGTTCATTTTAGTCAATAACCAGCTATTAAGTACAGACAATGCTAAGGATATTAATGCAGGCTATTGTATTACAAATAGCACTTTAGCTTCAAGTTATCATGGGTCTGTAGGGGAGAGGTTGGGAAGGAGACCACTACAAAATATGAGGGTTCAAGCCTGAGCAGGTTGGATTTTTTTAATAAACCTTTTCGTATACTAGTTAAAATGCGACCCCTCTATAAACCGAGGCATGTTAGTTGGTAAGTTTTTTTTTTTCAAATTGGCTGATACTGCTAATGCGTTATAATTGGCTTGCGTCACTTAGCAATTTTGTAGACTCACAATTGGCGTGCGTCACTTAAGAAATGTTGTAGACTCCAATTTTTACTCATTCAGTTTTTCCCAGTAGCGTTATCGCTCATGTTTTTGCTTGTATGCGAACTGCAACTTCGGCTCTGTGTAATATGATTTTTATCATCTCAAGATGTCTATATCTGGACTCTAATTATGGCGGCTCAACGCCTTTAACTGTCCTAGATATGATGTTTTTACGAATTTTCGAAATGTTTTCGAAATTTAAGTTTCAAAAAAATCCTTTTTGTATCGCTTAAAGTTTTCGAAGTTGACGTTTTTTATGACATTTTTAAAATATTGATTAAATTAACAGATAGTACTCATTAAACCTATGAAAAAAGTGTCTGATATTTTAAAAATAATTACCCTGGCTTAAATGATTGATGGCAGCAAATGATGTACATAAGGGCTAGTGAAATAAAGAACCTACTTAAAGAAGAATCTCATTAAAAATACGAAGATCTGAAACCCAATTTTTTTTGGAAATTTGACCATTTTAGCTTAAAAAGAAACTTTAAGTTGAAATTATCTTATCGTGTAATTGCTTACTCCATTTACATACTTTTTGGGGCTTTCAATTTAAGTTGCGCAACATTAAGTTGGTCTTTTGGGTCGCGATAGATTCGTTTCAGTAAGGGATCTACCGCATAGAGAAAAATGTGTCTTCTACCATAGTATTAATGGTTTTCTAATAATAATACTAATAGTTGAGACTAATATTACATACTAATATTTGAGAAATACTAAATTGGTGTGTTTTGAATGAAAAAAAAATGATTGTTTGTGGTAAAAACATTTCAGGTTGTTTGTGGCGTAAAAATTGGAAGTGTTAAAATTTAATCGCTCAGCGTTTTTTGGGAGCAATTTTTAAGTTTTCGACTCAATGCGCGTCTATTCACGTGTTGTTGACTCCTTGGCGGCTCAGTGAGTAATAGAAGCTTTGTTACTTCTCAGTTTTACAGTTTTTTTGTAACATTCAGTCGGATTTTACTAAAAACAACAAGGATAGCCGGTTGCTCTTAAAGTACTACAGAAAGTTCAGACCACAAAAGTTCAAAAAATAAAAGCGGATAATTGTTTTTTTTTTTCGGAAAATGTATTTTTTGTTCGCCTGGCTATTGGTGGTTGTGCACAAAATTCTAGCAAATAGGTGCGTTCCATGATAAGACTACAAAATGCATATTTGAAAAAAATATATGAAGCAAATTTACAAAAAAAGTCAATAAATTTAGCAATAGTAAAACTAAGTTCAGTTTTACAGACCTGCTCGCTTGTTTTTCTGCTCGAAAAAAGACCAAAATTTAAAAATTTCAACTTGTTTTTCTATACAATTTTTTTTGTAAATTTTTAATCACGACTACAAGGGCTTTAAAATAGTATATCACTCGACTGCGTCCAACGATTTTTTGTGGAATATGAAGTTGCGTGGAAAAAAATTGAAAAGAAAGCACACCCAAATACTTTGTTTAAGAAATAATATTCTTCAACAGTGTGGTCGAGACATTCTGCTACATGCACAGCATCCGGCTATCATCATTATTTTAATTATTTCTCGGGTGCTTAGTATCCGAGTGGAGATGCGAGGACGTGAGATTCCTGAATAGCAAGTCGGACATGCAATTTCCTTAAATAAAACAATTTGTTTTTGTTTTGATGGCACTTTTGCTGCATAGCGATAACAATTGAAAATGAACTGTAGCTACTTCGTTCGTAGCTAAAGTTAGCAAATTTTCAAGCGGTCGCGGCTCAGATGCGAGGATGTGAGATTCCTAATCTTCGTGTTGGACATTCGATTGTTGCACATCATAAAAATTTTCAAGACTGTTTTTTACCCTTTCTTTCATTGATAAACAAAGGTATTGCAATCAGGTGCTTGATTTTTTTTTCATGTTAACAACTTTGCTCACAGGGCTCATCTCGTGGCTCCTAGACTTCTTCGTCTCCTGATCTTGTTTGTCTAAAATAATCCGAAAGGCATGTTTTCAGCATGTTAGCATATTAAGTATCCGTCCTTTTCGAATTTTGCTCTGTTTGTAGATTGTTAGTTTAACAACTCAATTTGTTAAAATTTCATTTTATTTCTCCTTTTTCCGTTAAAACGGTTTCGACACATTTTATGCCTGCTTAGTAGCCTCATGTTACGCCGCTTGATGAGCGAAACTAGTTTTTTTTGTGCTTCTGTGCTTGTTTTCAGGGGGAGGTGGAGTTGAATTTTTTATCAGTTCCAAATCTGTTAATTTTTTTTCGACTTGTAGGGTTTTGCTCAGGTATTTTCGGCTTTGTTTCTGCTTGAGATAAGAATTTGGCCGTGTATGATCGATAAAGCCTTGTTCAGATTTTTGATTGCTCAAAGTTCGAGTGCCCAGTTGGAAATCTTCAAAAAAAAGCTTAAATAAATTTAAACAAAAACTTAAGCAAAACCCAAAAAAAAATAAAAATCGAAAGGTTTTTTGTTCGTTTTGCTAGTTAAGTCAGCAACGGTATCATTGCACGAATTTCTCTTTGATAGTTCTTGAGCGTATTGCTTATTTAATCGTAAACTTGTATCGTAAGTGGTGTGAAGCTCAGCTTCGACTCTGTTTACCCTTGCGATAAGAATGGGTGTAGCAACTGGTTACTAGACTTTTGTCCCTTAAATAACTTAGTTCACAGGTTGGCTCAAACTGGTAGTCATCTCCAATTCCGTTTTTCATTAACTAACAGACAATTTTGAGCAGGTCGATATTTTAAATACCTGTTCTGATCGAAATTTGTTAATTGATTGTAATTTGACCAACTCTGATGTCAATATACGTTTTTTTTTCGTTTTGTTTTTTAAATATGTTTTCTCGTTTCAGCTTAAAAGTTTTGGACTCCTTTCATATCGGAGCTCAAGTTTAACGGCCAAAAATTTTCTTCAAAATAGTCAATCATTTAAAATGCGAAGATTTTTTCGGAAATATAAAACTCAAATCAGCCAAATTATTTGAGAGCGCAATAATGCCATTAAATTTTTAACAGACAAATTATTTGGGAACGCAATTATGCCATTAAAATTTTATTTCATGATTATTAACCTGTGGGGTAAAAAAGTTTGTTTGACACTGAATTTTTATTCGCTGTTCTTATTTTTCAATCTGTTTTTGCTTAGCGAATTCTTGCTTTTCTTTTGTGTAATCTGTGGGGTACGCTCCTAGTGGGTTTGAAGAAAACCATTTGCGTATCCTCACTTAACAATCTTGGGTAAACTGTTGATTCATTTATTATGTGATAAAAAATATACTTTTTGTTTAATGTAATAGTGTATCTGATTGTTAAGTGAAATTAATTCTTCTTCTTCTTCTTTAGCGAATCAGAGATTTCACAGTAGCAATTGTCGGAGTTGGTGGTGTGGGGAGCGTCGCCAGTGAAATGTTGACCCGATGTGGAATCGGAAAAGTAAGCATTTCTCGTAGTTTTATACCATAAAGATTTCAGAAACAGTGAATACATGCAGTATTTCTTTCATATGAAGTTTCCATCTCATAGGCGTATCAGCAATTTAGTTTGAATGAAACAGGAGAGTCTAGCACTTGGAACAATATTTTTTAACTGAGTTCATTTTTTGGTGTTCAGTTGATCCTGTTTGATTACGATAAAGTGGAGCTGGCGAATATGAACAGACTCTTTTTCCAACCCCATCAATCGGGCCAATCAAAAGTGGACGCAGCAGTACAAACCCTCAAGTGAGTACAAGTATCCTTTGTTTTGCATTTCTTTATATATTAAAAGGTAAGATCCTTTGCAGTCATATCTTCGTGTTCCGCTTTGAAATCCGTTTCCTTTTCAGCCTTAGAAAAAAACTTGTAAGGGCACCCCTTTTTGAAAAAGATCTCCCTCCCACCGATTGCCCTCCCCCTAATTTGACCCATTTAGCATCCAAAGGGTTGCCCTGTGATACTATTTTTCGACATCAATTTCTGGCCAGTAGATAAGTTTTTTTAGGGGAAGGGGGCACGTATTTGACATATGTGTTAGCTTTGACGGTGTAAGCAAAAAATGTTGACAAGATAGTATCTAATTTCGAAATATCTAATACGAATGCAATCTGAATTTTAGTTGCATTCTAGGAAAATCAACCCTGATGTGCAATTCGAGCAGTATAACTTTGACATCACAACGACAGACAACTTTCCCCTATTTCTTAACGCAGTCAGGTTAGAAGAAAATGTTTTAATTTGGAATTTTTTTATTAGACAGGTCTTTTCTATACGGCCCAAGATAAAGCGACAATTCGTAACAAGGAATTGGCAAGTAGCAAACGCTTGCTCCGCTGTGCTCATATCCGACTCAAAAGGAATACTGCGCGTAAATTAGTGCTCCCAGTTTAATCTACTGTTACGAATGAAGTCATGGTACGAATATTCGCCTGTTACGAATTTTTGCCTCATAACGGCCCAAAGCTGCTCTTTCTTTTGTCAATAATTGGATAAAAACGTTCAAATTGGATTGGTTGAAATTAATTTAGCTAGAGAAAATCCGAATTTTCATTAAAGCTTAAGCCTAATTGTCGCAATTTGATAATTTTGGGCCGAGAAACTAGACAAACTGTTAAACTATTTAACTTGAGTCCTGCCTTCAAAAGCTGCTTGTTTTTATTTTAGCTCAGGAAGTTTAAGTGGATCTGCTGTCGATTTAGTTCTAAGTTGCGTAGACAATTTTGAAGCCCGTATGACAGTCAACATGGTAAGGAAATTGAGGCTAATCATAGCCAAGATTTAGTTTGTTTATAGAGAGAATTGGTTCATAGAACCAAAACAAATTCATCAAAGGTGTAGAAAAGGCGATAATACAGCGGAACGATTTTAATTTGATATCAATAGGCAGGAAAAGGATGGAAGGGTATTCTCAGCAGGGGCGGATTTAGGGGGTGAGTGGACCCCCCCCCCCCACCCAGGGATTTGACCCCCTGCCGACCCAAAGGGTCCCCCTTTGTACTATTTTGAGATATCCATATTTGGTGACGAACCGTAAAATTTTTCTCAAGGCGCCTTTGGCGCCAATATATACTAATTTTGAGGGGGGAGCGCGCGCCAAAAAACAACGCGTTTTTTTGGTCAAAATTTTGCAAAAAGTGCCTAAAAACGCTTTTTTTGGCCTGTTTTTCAATCTTTTGCCTTATTCTCAGATATTGTTTTTCCATCAATACAGGCTAATATTTAGACATGAACAATTTGTTGTGGTGAACAACAAAAAAGATTTGATTGATTTTATACTGAACGGCGTTATACAGCGATTGTATTGAAGCACTTTTTATTTGTAATTAAAAGAATTTTTAACAAACTTTAGAGCGATTAATTGATTGAATTTTGCCAATTCGGTTGTCTCATATTTTAGAAGTGTGACAGGTCAGGTTTATTCAGTGTTGTTTAGGCGTGCAATGAGCTGGGCCAGAACTGGTTTGAATCTGGAGTGAGTGAACAAGCGGTATCTGGACACATCCAGTTTATACAACCGGGAACATCGGCTTGCTTCGCAGTTAGTAGTTCTCCAACGTCGAATATCCCCTGGGTTGTTAATACTTTGTATTACTAATAAGCGTTTTAAAACTGTTTTTTTTTAATGGTAAAGACATCCGGTTTGAAAAGTCGAGGAACGAAGTCAGGGATAGTCTTTAAAATTTGTTCACGCTCAAATCGGCAAAATCCACTATAGAAAAGCGAAAGTGTAAATGTCACAAAAATGTGATCGACTTCTATTTTTGGTGGTAGATTTTAATTTTTAGATTTCCCAGCGCAATGAAAAATTTATCTTTGATCTAGTTTTTTCACATGTAGTGTATCTGACAGTTTCATGAAGTCGAAGAGGTATTTTAAGTTGATTTTAAAAAGACCTGTTTTCTCTCTTCAATAGCTTCTTGCGCGGTTTTTCTTAAAAAGTTGGAAAATTTTGTATTTTTTTTTTCAAAGTACTTCGATAGATAATTTTATAAGCGGAGCGTAGTGTCATTTCAGAGCATACACTTTTTTTTCCAAGCTAAGTCGCAAATAGAGAGGTGGTCATTTTTATTTTTTTTTATCTGATTATCTCTGGATCCATAGCATTATATTTTCGTAGCTGGTTTTTACGTGGATAGTTCCCTTTTTGATAAAAAAAACAAGTATTATGAAATTAAATCAGAATTGGTTTTTATTTTTGTTTGACGCTTTTGAAGCTTTTTGCATTTTTCGTAAAAATTTGATTTTTTTCAAGAAAAACTTTATCGATTTTGGCAAAAATAGAATTAATGGATCGGCCATCTACTGCCTATATTTTTCGCACAGATCTTGTGAATTTTTCCTGCACAACTGTTGTCGCCCTAATTTTTTTGATGCAAAAAATGCTGCCTTTTAATTGTACAATTTTTGCAATTTGGCTTTTTCGAAAATTGTCTCAAAAAATATTCGCCACATCCGAGATGAATGGTTTAATCGGAGAAATAGGGATCATAAGCAACTACGGTCTAATTTTATGTAGAACATTTTTTGGACTTTGAAAAATAGATTTTTTAATGGTGGACTGTTTTCGGAGGCTTTTGTTGAAAAATTCTCTGCCAAATCTGAGATAAGGGATTTAATCGATAGTACAGGTGCTAGGAATTTTCTCTGTATACTGGCCACTTTGTAGTTTTTGTAGAAAAGCATTGTTGAATTTAGAAAAAATAATAATTTTTCGTTGAATTTAGAAAAAGAAAAGTTGATCGTTTTTTTCTTAGAAATTCTTTAACATTTATTACACCGAAGACTTTAGTCAAGGTGTTATGGTATCGTGTAACGGGTTTTTTTTTAATGTTGTCTGTTGTCAAGTGTCGACAAATAACGTCCACAGTTATCAATTATCATGTGGGCTGGACTATATCGCGCTATGTCACGTGATTGCGTATGTTTGTTTCTTTATTTGTTCATCTTTATTTATTTAACTATCTGTTCTTCTATTTATTTAATTATGTTTAGTTTGCTTATATTTATTTATAATTTATGTATGTACATATTTATTTTTGTTTATTTTTATCACGTGTTTTGTTTATTTATTTAATTATTCTTTCTTTCATTTAGTTTTGCTTTTATTATTTCTGCGTGTGTATTTATTTAATTTATTTATTTTCATTTATTTATATTATGGGTCTGTTTGTTTGGTTATTTGTTCATATATATTTTTTCATGTCTATTTAATTATTTGTACATTTCACTTTTGCTTTTATTTATTTATTTATTTATTTATGTATTTATTTATGTATTTATTTATTTATTTATGTATTCATTTATTTTTTTATTGCTTATTTATTTATCAGGTGTGTTTTGTTTATTTGTTGATATTTATTTCTATATTTATTTAATTATTCTTTCTTTCATTTAGTTTTGCTTTTATTATTTATGTATGTGTATTTATTTCATTTATTTATTTTCATTTATTCATATTATGGGTCTGTTTGTTTGGTTATTTGTTCATATATATTTTTTCATGTCTATTTAATTATTTGTACATTTTGCTTTTATTTATTTATATATTTATTTATTTATGTATTCATTTATGTATTTATTTATTTATTTATGTATTGATTTATTTTTTTATTGCTTATTTTTTTATCAGGTGTGTTTTGTTTATTTGTTGATATTTATTTCTATATTTATTTAATTATTCTTTCTTTCATTTAGTTTTGCTTTTATTATTTATGTATGTGTATTTATTTAATTCATTTACTTTCATTTATTTATATTATGGGTCTGTTTGTTTGGTTATTTGTTCATGAGATATATATTTTTTCATGTTAATTTAATTATTTGTACATTTCAGTTTTGCGTTTATTTATTTATTTATTTATTTATGTATGTATTTATTTATTTATGTTATTTGTACATTTCAGTTTTGCGTTTATTTATTTATTTATTTATTTATGTATGTATTTATTTGATTTATTTTTTTATTGTTTATTTATTTAGTTTTGCTTTTATTTATTATTCATGTATAAAATAATAAATTTGGTATGTTAGAACTGTTATTCTTCAATTATTAGTTGTTCAAGTTGTTTGGTTTTGGCTTCAGTTTCTATGCCTTCGGTGTATTGCGCGTAGCGCCTATGTTCGAAAACTGCAATGCCAAAGATTAGGTTCAATTGAAAGAACGTGCCACAGGAAATTTCTTTGCACAGCATTTTTGCACTTGTTCGTTCAGAAATTTTTTGAGTTTATCAAAAACTTTGGTACAAAAACTGAGATAAAATGTTCAATCGAAATAACAAGCTGTAATTGTATCTCCTGCATAGGCGAGTTTTTCCAGTTTTGGCAAGAAATCCAATGTGGACTTGAGAATTATTTGAAATTTTTACCCATTTTTGGGTTTTGGTTTATTCCCCAAAAACGACCGTGCCGATTTTGAAAAAAAAAATTAAACGTAGATGTAATCTTTCCTGAAAAAGCGTGTTCTCCGTTCTTTTACTGATTATGGAAGAGCTAGTTATGGAATTAGTAAAATCAATTTTGACATTTTGAAAGTTACGAAAAACCTGTCGCAGCAGTACAATTTAAAAAATATATTATTAAACAGATTAAGCTGGGATCGTAGTGTTTAACGGTTGTTAAGCGGCCATGGCGCAGATGCTAGCACGTGTGAATTCCAATCTCCAGGTCGTTTTTCGATTGCGGCACATTGACAAAATTTTAATTAGTTTTATCTTTTTCCCCTTCTTTCATTCAGGTTTTGACCTCTTTAGAGTTTCTTTTTGCCCTTTGCGAAGTGTTCAAATCTTTGATTTGTGTTGATTTCTGCCTGTTGTTTTAGTGTGCTCCTCCTCTTTTGGTGGCGGATGATTCCCTGGACGAGAAGTCCTTGAAGAAGCCAGGAGTGTGTGCTGCTTCTCTCCCTACCACCATGGCAGTAGTTGCTGGATTCCTCATCCAGAACACACTCAAGTAAGTACAGCTTGTAGTCTAAAGGTTCTAGAAGATTTTATCGAATTTGTTTTTGCTCGGCGCACAGTAACGTGTTTGAAAGTTGATTCGCTATGTGATTTTTTTTTCAATTTTAATTCAGCAACAGGATTAGTCAATTTTAATAAATGTGAATGTCAGGTTTATTTACGATTTATAGTTTTTCCAAAAACTGCAAGTATTGTAGGTATAATCGAATGAAAGTCAATTTTGGGTGAGCAAATCTGGACGGTATTTAATGCTATCCATCTTTTTCTGTTTAGATATCTTTTGGGTTTCGGGCAAGTGTCCGATTACTTGGGCTACAATGCACTTAGTGACTTCTTCCCCACAATGTCGCTTAAGCCGAACGAGCAGTGTGACGACTGCCACTGCAGAAAGAGACAGCAGGAGGCGGCTGAGAGGAGAAGGGCGAATGAGAGTAGTGGAGTGGAAGAGAAGAAAGAAAAGAAGGAGGAGAAAGTAGTGCATGATAGCAACGATTGGGGTTGGTTAATTTGAAATCGAATGAGGTATGAAATTTTTAATCTACATCTTTTGAAAGTGTAAATGTGTCTGTTTAATCGATATCTTTTGAAAATTTAATTGTGTCTGTTACCTATCTAGTACTGTAATGGTTGTGTTAAAGAGCGAAGGCTTTTGTTATAATGAGAGCTCACGTTTTTATCATCCTATGTCGCGCATGTTTGAAGAAAATTTTTCTGCTCAATTTTTTGTATATAGAAGCGTAAATGAACGTAGAGATGACACATATGTAGGTCGTGATGTTTTTTTTCAGGAATTAATTTGATCTCGCTCAATTTGACCTTTTGCGGTTTTACTTTTGTATTCTTTTGAATTCAATTCAAATTCAAAGAAAGATAAATTACGTTCTCTAGTTAGCCAAGTGCTGCAAAAAAATTGTGAACGACTTCTAATTTTGAAAGTGGATTTTAATTTAATGATTTCTAGTTTTCTCTAGAACTTCATAAAAAAAGATCACACAATATTCTTGAAACTTCAATGTGATATATATACTTTTTCAAATTTCGAAAGAGTCATAGAGTCAACAAGAGTGCTCGTATATCAGGACAAAGCCCTGAAGGTTGCAACTGCCCCTTGATCATTATCGAATAGTTTTTTGGGAGAAGAAAATATTGAAAAACTAAAAATTTTGGACAATATCAACGATCAAGACAAGTGTGAAAATTTGAATCGTACGAAATTGATACGACGGACTAGCTAGCCTCAATTTGGAATGATTGTGTTGAGCGGGATAATTCGCTACCCTTAAATAATTCGCGTTACGCTTTAATAATTGAGGATAAAATGAGAGCATGGCCAAATTGGAATTTTTGAAACTCCAGAACTATACAAAAAATGATTGGAGGTGAAAGATATTTGTAAATTTGATTTCAAGGAGTCAATATTTTAATTGGGCATAAAATTGTTGGTTAAAAACTATTATTTTGATCGCCAAAAATTGACTGAAAAAAATCCACACCAAGCATAAATATTTCGTTTTTGTGTTTGATTTGATTTCATTTACACTTTTCCTAGGCTTCATTGGCTATGTTTTAATATTAGAGGGCGTGTTAACTACAAAAGGGAGCAAGGCGAATGGGTTAGTTGAAACTGCAAATTACACAATCTGGATATTTAAATTTAGTCATTTTTTTTCTTAGGTTTGAAAGCATTTTTCGTAGTTACTTTTTTTTGGGTTTTTGAAACGCGCTTTTTTGCTTGGATTTGCAATTTGGCCTCTGTGCTGAAAATTTTGCGGAAGAAGTGCTTTTTCGGGTAATGTTTTGGCTCACAGGACATATTCACTGAATCATTTGTTTACACTTGCGATCAGCTTATGTGTTATTAAGAACCTTCTTTTCTAACCTAACTCGCTAATAAAAGTGTTCACTTATTTGAAGTTTCACTGAAGCATTGGAAATTTCATAGCATCCATTCTCTGCTTCATTTTTGACTGAGTGGTTAATGGTACATATTAAGCTTTCGTGGCTTACTAGTTAGTGTGTGAAACTTAACACAGTTGACGCATTTTTAATTGATCAAATGAATCGAAAAAAGCTATTTGTTTCAAACCACAGTACAATAATAAAATCTTGATTTCAAGAAATTTTCCCATCCAATTTTGGCCTTATGGAAATGTATACGATCGCGTTTTTTCTTTTTTTTCTTTTCTTTTTTTGGGACGCTTTGGAATTTTTAAAACTTTTTTAAGAGTAATGAACGTAGTGAAGACTCTTATACAGGTCTTGCTGATTTTTTTTTTCAGGAAAAAGTCCTAAAATATTGATGCAGTTAGGTATAATGCACTTTTTGAGTTCAATTGAAATTAATCTGCAGAAAGTGACGCAAATAGCACTCTCCAAATACGAACTGGAAATGGAGCGAAAAATTTTTAGATTTCCAGCGGAATAAAAACTTCACCTATTGATCAATTTTCTCAAGTTGGGTTAATGTTATCAAAAAAGCGCCAATCATAAATCGTTCTAGAATTTCAAAGAGCTTATAGGGCATCTATTTTTTTCATTGAAATTCGAAAGTTGATTTTTTCAACAAAGTCAGTTTTTTTTATGTTTGCGTTCATTACTCGTTTCCAATCTTCGATCTTTCAAAAATTTAGTTTTTCTCAAAAACTACTCTACCGAATTCAAAAAAATGGTACTAATAGTGTGTCTGCATAATTCCCTAGTCCCTTCTTTTTACCTCACCCAACTTTCTTTGTACAGCCTTCAAAAAAGTGTGTTGGTGGAGTTTTTGAACCATATTTTTGGATGTTTTACATTTCTCGAAAACTGTCCTCCCAAAACTGAGATTTCGAGTTCAATGGATAGCCCATGTTGTGAGAAGCTCCCCTGCCTGATCAGATACGCCCAATTATTTCTACATTCAAAGTTATCGTCAAGTTTTCGATTTTTTGACTGTTTTTAAACTTTTTGACTTTTCTCGAAAATAAACCTTCCAAATGTAAAAGCTCCCGTTCGTAAGTGATTACGTCCAAACTTTTCTACTCAGAAGTTGAGAAAAGTGAAGTAAAATCTGAAAACTGAATTAAAATCAGAATTAAAATCTGATCAAAAAAGTTATGTCTCTGGGAAAATTCCAAAATCATAAAAACTTCACTCCTTTTTTATAGAGCATTAACTAGGTTTTGGGTGAAGCCCATTTTTTAAATTTTTGAATTTACCTATTTCATCCCGCATTATTACAACAAAATCAAAATTTATCAAATAGGTACCTCCAGCTTTAGCTGGGCTCTAGTTCTTGACTAAATTTTTGCTTTATGGAAATTTTGTTTAAATTATGAAAATGTTGTATTATTTATACAAAATTTTCAGATTTTCCAGCAAAATGAAGATTTAATTTCTTTAGTCAGTGTTCTCAAATTGGGTTATTTTTATCAAAAAGTGCCAAAGAATAATTCCAGAATTTTTAAGAGCTTAAATTGCTGCAGGGATTGAGTTAGTTTCTGAGACGAGTGAAGACATTCCAAATGGCGACCATAGCAACCTCCCTTCGCTAGCTGCCAAGAGCGGACTTAAGTACGCTTATATGTCAGCTCCAGGAACCTACGAGAACCCGTCAAGAGACCAAACACAGTCTAATGCTGCAGCGACGACAACAAACGAGTCCTTAGACGATCTTATGTCTCAGCTGAAAATGTTGTAGCATGTGCGGGTATTGCGGTAGTTGTTACATATTTTATCCTGGGCCAATCGATTTGCATTACGGAGCGTTTTAGAGTTAACAAAATCTGGTTTCCGTTTGCTTCATTATGAGCGAGGCCACCGAAATGAATTAGCTAAATGCAAATCTAGTAAATCTGTATGCTTAAATACATGTTGGGGTAGGTGCTGTAAGTCTTGAGATAATTAGTTTTATTGTACTATTTCGAGCATGTTATGCTGTATTTATCTTATTTGGTGCTGAAACAGGTGATGCGAATTAAGCTTCAATAGATGTTAATATTTTGGTCTAATAAATGTATTAACAATTAAATTGAGACAATTTAAATATTAAACCAAGAAGTTACGATTAAATCGTTTTTTAGGTACTAGTCTTCTGAAGTATTTTCTAGTTTGCGTCAAATTAATTTGCTACACGCACCGAAGCTTCCGATAAAAATTGATTCTATTTAGAAAGTCTTGACAAAAATTTTGCCGTTAGAATCTAGTATGTTGAACTAATTTAGGCAACTTTTCATTTTATAATATCTAATAGTGGATCATGTTCTCTGCGTATATTGCATTATAATGTCACCAAAAGTTATTTTTATTGTCATTTAATCCCAACAAAATTTTTTTTTGCCATGTCAAATAATTTTTTTCTTAGTTGGAATAAAATTTGTTATTTTTTCTTTATGTTATCCCACTAGAAAGTTTTGTTCTTTATTATAATCCCAAAAAAAATCTATTTACACTTGCGGCTAGCGAGTGTTTTTGAATCGGAATATAGATTTTTTTCTGGTTAACAACTTAATTATCAAAATCACTTAAACCCTTTGATATCTTAATGTTTAATAAATTCAAATAAATTGGCTTCTTCGGCACATTTGGGCCAAAGGTAACGACTACACCTGGACAGCAAAAGTCCTCTGTTCCAACCCGGCTCGTACTTTTTTCAAACTAAAAATTATAATTGTCGGAAAAATGTCGGCTTATCGTTTGTCTGATTATTTTGCCGCATCATTAGTTGCCGCATCATGAAATTTTCTTGTGCTGTAAGCAATTTTTTCTTTAATTGTAAGTGTTTTTGATATACTCCTTTAATTTGTGAATTTACTAGCCCTGTCTTTCTACGTGTTTTTTTTTGCTTCAAAGCGTTATCTGGCCTGTAGTTGTTAGACTCGAGAGGGCGCGTCCGGCCTGCTCAAACCGAGTTTTAGAAACTTTGCCAGTTCGTTCGGCCGAAGCCACAAATCTCTGGGAGTGGCGTGCATAGAACAGTTAAAAAGGTGTAATGTAGTGTGTTGGGAATCTACAGTTGGGGCAGCTTGGAGGGACGTTGGTCGATTCTATTCAGATAGGTGTTCACAAAGAAGCAGTACTCGGACCTTAATTGGGAAGGGTGCTTTATTATAGTCTGATTTTTTTTCAATTTCAAAAATTGATGTCCAAATTGCTTATTTTACTATAACTGTCGAATATGCTTAAGCTCTAGTTTTTCGTTCAGATCCTTTTATCACACCACGCAGAAAAAAACGACACTAATTTGAAAACACTTTTTGTGTAATTTTTTCAAGAATATGGCGGGGTCATTCTGTGCTACTTGCGCAGTAACGGCTATCCTTGTTTTTATTGTTTTATTAGGTTAATTTAGGTTACTAGGTGCAATTATAAATAGATTGCATTCTTCCAAACTTGAACTCAAATTTCAGTTTTAGGCAATACATGCATTCTTCTGAACTTCAAATCATAAATCAAATCACACCAGATTTTGTATTTTGAGTTGATGTTCGGAAGAATGCAAAGTCTTGGTAGATTTTCCTTTCTGGGTTGTAGTTCAACTCAAATCTTGCTAGATTTTGCATCTTCTAAACTTTAACTCAGGAAACAAATTTTGTTGTTTCTTTTACAAAAAGCTAATTGTTCCGACTTTCGATACGAAAGTAACGGAATATTTGTGCTCGGGGTGGGTTTTTTTTGTTTCTTCATATAAATTTCGACTTTTTAACTAGCCATTTTTGACGGAATTTTTTAAATCATTCAAAAGGTATTGTTGTCCTGAGCTTAAATTTGAATAGATACTTCACCTGTGATCATTTTTCGTAAAGTTATGAGGGTTAAAAGATTGTCATTTTGGCCAATTTGGGACAATTAACGCGCGATATAATTCGCGCTATTAACGCGTAAGCGGAGATTTAATCCGTCTTATAAATCGTTCCAAATTGGTTGAACGAAGCTTATTTGCCATAATTGATTTGTTGCAAGGAAAGAAATCTATCTTTTTGTACCTTATATGGCGTGTGGGGGGATGATTTTCATAACAAATTTCAAATTTCAGAAAAAAATGTCATTTTTTTATTTCATTTAATTTTTTAATTTTATTACTGCTGCTCCATAAACCTTAAAAGGCAGTCGGAACATTCAGGGCTTCGCCCTGATACGAGCAGTCTTGTTCAGATTTGGATTTAAAGTATTTTAAAACTTTGCAAGATGTGCATTCTTCTGATCTGATACTCGGAATGTAAATCTTGTAGAAAGCTACTTTCTGAGCGCTCCTACTCGGAATGCAAACTCAGCTCTCAATAATTTACAGTTGAAGTTATGGAAATCCAAAAGTTTTCCGCATGAGTTGGCTTTCTTCTGCGTTCATGTTAAACTCGACTGGGACCTATTTTGTATTCAATGTGAAAATTTTCCGTATAAAAAATTACCGGACTATCGTTTGTCTGATAGTTTTGTATTCTTAGTTGCCACATCAAGGAAGTTTCTTGTACTTTCTATTTTAATCGAAATAAACTGTGTTATGATTGTAATATAATCGATAGAAAATGATTTTTTTAAAATTTTTTTGTTATTCAATCTAATTTTTTCGTCTTGAACGTATATTGTCAGAATATTGATTATTAAAGACGTAATTTTTGGTTATAAGATAAAATCGTCATATACTTGATTTGATTACTAACGAACAAATTTTGGAGTGAGTAAAAGGAAGGCAAATTGCGCTCTCCAATTACGAATGTGCAACTGGCGCAAAAAAAAAGTTATTGAATTTACTTGAAAGAGTTTCTGTTTCTATATTTCCTTGTAGAAAAATAATTACATTTTGATTCAGTTTTTGTCAAATTGGGTTATTAATCTCAAACTCAAAAAGCTTTAAGGTGATATATGTTCTTCGAAACTCGTATATGTTCTTCGAGACTCGTATTGACACTTTTCTTTCGAATTGTACGTTGGCTATGTTTAACTTTTTGTCAATTGTCTGTTGGCTGTTCTTGAAGTTCAAACCAGTTGGAATAGGATTTAATATGAATTTGTTTATTTGTGTGAAAGAGATAGTCGTGAATGCCTGTTGCTTGTAAATACAACACTGCTCTTATCAGGGCAAAGCTGATTCGAGGCCCATTAGTTGGTCTCGAATCGTTTTTCGTATATGACATGTTAACACACTACAAACTTTAAGCTGATAATATCAGTGTTTAAATTTGAGTTGTTTATAGAACTAACAAGAATGCTCGTATCAGGGCAAAGCCCTGAATGTTCCGACTGCCTTTTATGGTCTATGAAGCAGTAATAACTTGAAAAAACTTAATGTAAAAAAATAAGTAAATTGAATTTTTCTTTTAATTTGAGATTTTTTGTGAAAATTATCCCCCCACTTGCCATATAAAGTACAAAATGATAAATTTCGCTTCTAGTAACGAATCAATTATGGCAAATAAGCTTCCTTCAACCAATTTGGAACGATTTCTAAGACGGATTAAATCTCCGCTTACTCTTTATTAGCGCGAAATATATCGCGCGTTAATTGTCCCAAATTGCCAATCTTTAAACCCCCATAACTTTATGAAAAATGATCACAGGTGAAATATCTTTTCAAATTTGAGCTCAGGACAACAATACCTTTTGAATGATATAAAAAAATTCCGTCAAAAATGGCTAGTTAAAAAGTCGAAATTTGTCTGAAGAAAAAAAAACCCCACCCCAAGCACAAATATTCCGTTACTTTCGTATCGAAAGTCGGAACAATAAGAGCAATTACCTTGCCTCAATTCAATTTGAAACGTTATAAGTGCGGATATTTTGCCACGCATAAATATTTCGCATAATGAAAAAAATATCCAAGTATTTTTTAAATATCAAAGCCGTACTTTAGGCAAGTGCACGCAGGGGTGTTCAGTTATCGATATAGATTATATTGCAGTTTCAAAATAGATTATCGATATTTTTGAGCTGACAAAATAAATAATCTAAATAATCTTTGGAATATTTCGAACAAAAAAAGATTATTGTTGAAAATTTTATTTTTCAAACCAAATCGGATACAACTTTAATATCCCAGAGTTGCTTGTTTACAAAAAGGAACAATTGCGCTTCAAGGTTGACAGGCTCGAGTTTTTTACGGTAGTCGTCAAAAATCATTTTTGCTCGACTAAACAACCTTTCGCAAACGTTCGACGTTGCGGGTATCCATTCGAAATGTATCATCTTTTTTGCTTTTTTTGATGCAATAATTTCGTCAATAATTTTGATGCAATAATTTTTGATGCAATATTTTTTTTCACTGCCAAATTGAATCGATGGGAAGCACACCCAATAAAAGGTCGGTCTAAAATTTGGGCGAGTTTTTTTGTTGACACTTGCATTGTCACCAACAATGAAAACGACATTTTCAATGTCTCCGCCATAGATTTTCAACGTTTCTTCAATAAGGTCGGCATGACTCCTGCTCCCCAAGATCAAGCCAACCATAAATGTTACGAGCTTTTTCTGGAATTGTTAAGATACTCAAGCTGGTACTTTGCATATCTGACTTGTAATTAGGGTGTTTGGCAGCAACGTGCGAAAACAGGTTTTGGTACCCTGCTTTTGGTGCTTTTTTCCTGGTAACACTGCATCCACCAATTGTGCATTTGTAAATATCGTCTCCCACATGTTTGAAATACCGATCGCAAACTTCCTTAGTTGTAAAAGGCATGGCTGTAAAAGTGAACTGGCAACACTTGATGCACTCGTTAGTTATGCAAACAATCTGATGGGAAGCTGTAAAAGGCAAGTTGTAAAAGGCATGGCTGTAAAAGTGAACTGGCAGCACTTGATGCACTCGTTAGTTATGCAAACAATCTGAAACGACGTTATTTTGGTTGAATGTGTCACTCCTTTCCGTAAATAGGCCCACATTCATTGGCTACGAATCCCAAGACAATAATCGAGGCAACAAGTCACAATTATTGTTAGTCAACAATAGATTATTGTAATGTTTAGCTCCAAAAAATAGATTATCGATCTATATTTATTGACAATAATCTTGTATACAATAATCTTTTGAACACCCCTGAGTGCACGCATACTCGCTTGGTAATCACATGATTTCCGGATCGAAGTCCATATCCAGTCAACTATTCTAAAATTGGTCTGAACAAAGAAAAACCACCGCGGGCATATATATTCCTCACTTTCTGCGAAAGTCGGAACAATAAGAACAAGTTGCGAGTGTGTCCTACGATAAAAAAATATATACGTTTTCCATGTAAATATCATCTTCAGAAGCAATTTTTTTCGTTTCTGCTAGACAAATATCTTCATTTTTAAAATAGTTTTTGGTCTTATATTGGCCACCATTGTTTTCGATGTTGTTTAGTTTATTCAAACAATCTAAGCGTCTCAAACGCTCGATTGCTTAATATTAGGCTGCTAAAAATGTTTTTTTTATTGTTGCTGTGCTAATGATACACACTGTTCGTGATATAGAGTACGGACGTCCGTAGTGAAAACTGAGGTTCGGTTCCGATCAATGAGAATTTTGGGCATTTCAAATTAACTAGATCATTTGAAACTAGAAGATCTTTTCCTGTGTGCACGGAAGCTGAAACCGTTAGGGTCGCTTAAAAAGTTATTGGTTCTTAATATTTATAAACCAGCATTTGAAGGAAATAAATTTTTGTCATTTTTACATCGGCACAGCTGTGACTTGGAATATTTTTCAGCTTTTAAAAAATGCTGTACTGTGACTGCAAAGTGCCGACATCAAAATTCTTCCTACAAGTTTCAATTTTCTCTTAAAGTTTCAGGTTAGATTTGAGTTGAATCAAATGGGACACCACAAGAAAGACAAAAAGAAACGAAAAAAAGATGATGTTGACAAAAAGGAAAAAGAAAACGAAGAGGTTTTGAACGATGATGAGTCGGATTTGAAGCATCCTCAAATAGTGGATTACCCCTCGGATAAAGAAGAAGGGGAAGAAAAGTCAAAAAAGCATAAGAAAAGTAAGAAACACAAAAAGGAAAAGAAGCATAAGAACAAGGAAAAGAAAAATAAGAAATCAGAAAGTGCTGATGATGAGCCAAATAGTGGAGACGAAACTAACTTAATATCTCCGACAAAAAAGCGATCAGACCTGGAAAATGTGAATGAAAATGGTAGAAATGAGCATAATATTGCAAATAATGAATTTGAAAATGGGAAAAAGGAATATCTCATGGATTTTGAAGAGGCGGACGAGCTTGACGAACATCCAATGATTTGCAATATAGCAGCTCGTAAAGCTTCGGCAGTGCCCAGACCGTCTTTGAAAGGAGATATTGTCAATTCGTTATCAGTTAGTATTGAAGATGGATCTTTAAACCAGTTAAGAAGCGACTCGAAAACAGCAAGTTCAAATGCGGTAACTATGAATCATGGTTGGACTGTAAGCATATTTCAAAATTCAAAGGATGTTTTTTAATAAAAATTCGACTATTTTTGACACGATTTTGACTATTTTTGACACGATTTGAAATTTGAAGTTGAAAATTTACGATGTTGACAACTAATAAAGTTGTCAATTTTGGCAGGTAAACTTCGAATTGTCAGTTTTTGTGGCAGTATTAGGGAAAGTTCGTTTGTCATTTCTATTTGAAAGATCCAAAAATTTGATCTATCAATGAGCTAGTTAAATTGACATAGAATCCTTTTTTGTCTGTCGAGTGTGATATGCCAGCAGAGAAAAGGAGAAAGGGTGTTGTTTTGCTATTTAGGCTGGAGTATGAGTCAGTGTGTCGTGTCACAGCGAGCACTTCTCGTAGACTGCCTACGCCTACTTGTTCATTCGCTTGCCTCGCCCTCTCTTCCCAGTGGTTAGTACAAGGAGAGCCTGGGAAAGGAGAAACAGATGTGGATGATAACTAAGTGCTTACAGAAATGTCTACAGCTTATATAAAGCAGTGTTGTATGGTCTTATGGTATCCCCATGATAAACATGTAGGCTCTTCCGTAAGTCATCTGAACCCAAAAATATGTTAGTGGCGCCTAGTGGATGAAAAGGCTGAATCGATCACTAACGAATTTTTATAACAAATCACCTTCATTGTTCCGACCATTGAAAATGGAGAGGAACTTTGTATTCGGGTGTTTTAATTTTTTTCTTTGTTGTTTTCCGCGCAAAATCAGTAACCACAAATAATTATTTGACTGGGTTGAGTGATATATCATGTTAAAGCCCTTTCAGCCGTGATTCGAACGACCTTTTAAAAATTCCAGAACAATTTTCAAGAAAAACCGGTTTGAAGTTTTTGATTTTTCGTCTTATTTTGAGCAAGTAAAGAGCGAGCAGGCTTGTTTATGCTGAACTTAGGCCGTTTACCATAACTTATTTACGCTAAATGTTAGTTTTATTGGAACAAAGTTAATTTTTGGAGTGTTTTCACGCCATTTTGGGAATCAAAAATTTTCTAAACAATTGAAAAGTTGCGACATTTTTTATGATTTTTTTGTTTGTCTAGTCATTTTTTTTTCAAAAATTGTTGTCCGATTTGCCTATTTTACTATGAATTTGGAACGTGCCTTTTTGAAGTTTTTGGTTCACATCTTTTTATCGCACCACCCTGAAACAACGACACCAGCTTGGAAAAAAAATAAACAGTTTTTGCGTGTGTTTTAAAGACTATGGTCGGATTGTTCTGTGCTACTTGCACAGTAACCGACTATCCTTGTTTTTACAGACACTTAGTTTTTTTTAGCAATTATTACTTGTTAAATCGCGTGTTTCTTTATCTTTTACATTTTAGCGTTCCAATAACGAAAGGCGCATATGGCGCAAAAACTTAAATGACTTTAATTTCGAACACGGATTTCAATTTACCAGCCGAATAAAAAAATTACCTATTTATGCAGTTTTCTCGAATTAACGAAAAACGGCAGTGATAATAAGATCTTGAGTTTCAAAAAGCTTTATTGTTCTGTGCTTTTTCCGAATTTGAAAGCTTAAAGGTTTTCAAAAAAGTCAACCAGTTTTTGATTTTATTGAGTTCGTTGACACTTTCCCAATTTTCCATTCGCTGTTTTGGTTTTTCATCAAGCGAGCCCGCGAGAAATGTGGTATATTACGCGTTGACTTTTTTCGAAACCAACTCATTTTGCTCACTTTTATGGCACTTTTGCTGCATAGCCTTGACAATTTAATAACATGAGTTTATCTGCGTTTTTAGTGGCTAGTATTTAGAAAATTTCAAAAGCGCTTGGCTAAACTGCGAGGACGTAATTTTTCTAGTCTCTAGGTTGGGGCTCGATTCCGGTACAGCAGAGGTTTTTTGCTTTCAGGGCTTGTTTTTGATTTCTTTTCATTTTTCTTTTAAGAGCTAATTTTTTTTAGGTTTTTTGCTCGTGTTCTCGAAGTGCGGCTTTGCCTGTATTAATTCAATGATCAGTTTTGTATCAAATTTTCCGACATTCTGTCGTTTTTCTATTTTGTTTGCTAACGACAGTTTCGCATCTGTGCGTATAATGTTATTAATGATTGTATAAAATACGTAAATTGTGGTATAAGGTGGCGTGCCAGAGTCCAGGTTGCCGTTACAACAAAAATTGTTATTAATGCTCCATTTTGTATCAACTTTTCCGACATTTCAAATCGTCTTTCTGTCGTTTTTCTGTTTTATTTGCTAATATATGGTCATCTAGAACCGGATGCTGTATTCGCTTTATTCTTGCTTTTTCGTTGCTAAGTGGCATTTACTATTAGTGTGTCAACGACTTGAGGCGATAGAATAGCAGTTGCGAAGGCAATTGAGTCGTATCTGATAGCGCCTTTTAAGAGGTGATTCAAATCCTTTTTCTGTTCTAAAAACAAAACAAGGATAGTCGGTTACTGTGCAAGCACAGAATGTTCCGACCATAGTCTTTAGAAAGCTACGGTTACGAATGTTTTTTTTTCTCCAAATTTGTGTAGTTTTTTCTGGTTGCTGTGATAAAAGGATCTGAAGTAAAAATAGAATTCAGGCATGTTAGAAAATCATAGTAATATAGTCAAATTGGACTTAAATTCGGTAGAAAAATGACTAGAAAAACTTGAAAAAAAAATTAAGTTTTTTTTGCAGAATTTTTTAAAAATCCAAAAATCAAGCTAAAGAAACCAAAAACTATTTGCAATGGCTTAAAAAAGTTTTAAGGTCAAATCAGGCATAATTCAGCTGTTGAAAGACTGCTCGCTTGCTTTAATTGCACGAATTAGGACGAAAAATCTTAATTTTCAAACAGGATATATCACTCAACCCAGTCCAATTATTATTTGTGATACCTGATTTTAAGTGAAAAAAAAGAAAAAACTAAAACACTCGAATACAAAGTTTCTCCCATATTCAATGGTCGGAAAAACAAAATGTTTCAGCAAGAAAATTTTTGCGAATATTCATGTAAAGACGTTTTTTAAATTTTGATCCGCTCGCTAATTTTTCTTTGGCGAGTTTCTAAAGCTGATATAACTTCTTGAATTTTTTGCGCTGACACTGCAATTGTTTTTTTTCCAAGTTGGGTTATTTAAACTTACTTATGTCAATAATCATTGTTTCGAATTCATTACGCGTGCGATAAGAAAGCGTTAAAAAAACTTTGCTCAGTGCAGTTTTTTTGGTTTTCGTTTGTATGTATGTTTTTTTTGAACAAAAATTATTGAAACGCCTGTTTCGGCTGTATCCTGATTTGAAATCATCTAGTGAAAAAAGAAAGTATTAAAAAGCCATAAATTTTGAATCCAACCATGATTCTACAGGATAAACATGCGCAAGGAAACGAGGCTGATAAAAGCGTTGACGAAAACAGTGCTAGAAATCGGCGAAGCTCCCCAACCAACGATTCGAGTAAAAAAGAGCGTGATCGAAAACGGTCCAGATCAAGAGGCAGATCTAAAAGTTGGGGTCGCACCCAGCCCAAGTCTTCTCGAGAAACGAATCAGTCTGCGAAAGACAGCCGAGAAAAAGACAGACACGATAGAGACAAGAAAACGTCGAAACGCGACAGAAGAAACAGAACCAGGAGTCGCTCGAGGTCAAGGTCAAAGGATAGAGGCCAGGGGGGTTCATCAAATGGCAATGACCGAGAGAACAGAAGTGATCAGAGAAAGAGTTCACGGTACGATAGGTGGGATCGAAAGCATGAAGAGAAACGTCAGATGAGCTCAAAGCAAACGGCGGCTGAAATTAATAACGGACTGTCGGTTGAAGGTTTGAGTGGGAGCGAGACTGAATCGGAAGAGAATGTGGACATCACGATGGATAGTGACAACGAGGAGGAGGAAATCGAGAGACGAAGGCGTGAGAGGAAGTAAGGATTATATTTTTCTGTCATTAAAATCACAGAAATAGTTGCTGAAAATGTATTTTGAAAATGTATTTTGAAAATGTAACTTTTATTCATGATTTTACTTTTTATTCCCTCTCTCAAGTTATACTGCAGCTAAGTTATTCATGATCCCTCTCTTAATACTGCAGCTAAAAACGATTGTTTGCGAGCAAGATTTGATCCATTTTATTGGCCCAGTATGTTAGACGGTTATTTTTCCGACCACGAAGTGGGAAGGTATATTATATCCGGGTGTGTTCTATGATAAGGTCTCGTATCACAATTAAATTTTACATGCGCTTGAGTATACCCTATTAAAACGATCCCCCTTAATTTTTTCTATTGTCGAGAAAATATGTTTTGAAGATTTATGTTTTAAACCGGTTTATCGAGACCTGTATATCGCTAGCACCAAACGGTCGGCTGCAAATCAGATTGACAATCTGTCATATAATTCTAAGCTGATCTAAGTATGAGCATTAAGTTTTCTCTGATTTAAAGAAGTACTTTCAGTTTCAGTAATTTCAAATTTTCTTAGGTGTTTGGTGGAGTTTTTATCCGAGGTAGGCGCCGATCAAGGACAGCAAAATTCGTTAGACGGTGCCATGAAAAGTGTTGGGGACTACAAAGACGAATCAGAGCCCAACCTAAACAGAGGAAACAAGGCTAAGTCAGATGAACGAGGAATGAGTGGAGTTAAAAGTAGGAAGAGGAAGAGAAAGCATAGTGATTCTTCGACCAGCTCTTCGCGATCTTCTAGAAGTAGTTCCTCGTCTTCCGCAGGAGGCGAGATCACCATGCCGGTAAGTAAGAAATGATAGATTTTATTCTGGCTTGTATGTACACAAGCCAATTAGAAAGCGTAGTGTTATATTGCAAATATAAAGTTTTAATCCGGCGCACGGCAAATGTTTCGTTTTTATAGGCTTTTTTCTCTTTGCTTCCCTTATTTCAATTTTTTTGCTTCTTAGGAGCTAATTTTTGTCGTTTTCTCACTTGTATTTGCGAAGTTAACTTCACCTCTGTGTTGAAATTTAATGGCAAAACTTGAGTGGTTGTAGTGAGGGATACCATGCATAAGATAACTACAACTGAAATATATCATAGCCTAGTACAAAAACACGATAACCCAGCCTTTCGTAGAGTAACATTGTTATTTCAGTAAACATTTGTTATTTCAGGAAGACATTTCGGCAACCGACGAGTTTGACCTTCCGGCCTCTAAACTACCGGAGCCGGAGACAAATCAGCGAGAGTCGTATATTGACAATGATCTGATCGCATCTCTACCGGGCCCCGCACAAGTAGCGAATCTCATCAAAGCTGACAATATTTCAAAATTTTTTAAATTGACATAGGACAGTATGGGTGTTGTAATTTTTGGTGTTAACTTTGAGAAGTGGAACTATAAGAAATCATCTTGATTAGTTGGTTTGAAGATAAATTAGCACCTCTATTTAACCAGCTGACTGACAGTCAAAAGCAGTGGTAGAATATAAAAGATTGAAAAGGTTCTATGTTGACGTTAAAATTCTTAAACCAATGAGTTTCAATAGTTGATCGAGAGTTTGCTATAGGGATTGTTTTCGACAAAAATTGACAGCATTTCATTTTTTCACCATACATGCAATGCAATTGATAGGTTGAAAACAACCACATTTTTTTGTTTAAAAAATGAAATTTTTTTAACAGGGTACCAATGTAGTGGGCGATGAAGACATGTTTAGTGACATAGCTGTGGCAAAACGAACTGAACGACAGAAACAGGCTAATGGCTCGGGGCAGAATGGAGAGAACCAACAATCAGCTGGACAGACTGTAGATCTCAATGACACTTTTGATGATAGTGAGGGATACTATCGACTGCGTATTGGAGAACTGCTGGACAAAAGGTACATTGAAATATTCTTTCGTATTTTTTAGTTAAATTTAAACCGGACGTTCAGGGCAGGCGTTTGCAGAATAGGTGGCCCCGTTTTCTGTCATCGCTGGGTCTCATTTCTGATGTAATTGCCATTGATGTTCATTTGAATAAACAATTTAAAGTAATTCATATGCTCATGGTCCCGCCCATTTCACGAAGTTACGCAAAGGAACTATGCAAAAGTGTTTTTTCTTTCCGATTTTTATTACCTCAGAGAAAAATTGCAAATTCTCAAGTATAGTAGCATATGAAAGACCTATTAGTCGTAATTTGCACTTCAATGTCGAGACAAATTGGTCTGGGTTTTTAAAAGAGTCAACAATGAACGTAGATCAGACTCTTATTTAGGTTGTGATGATATTTTGTTTTTCATTTCTATTGTTAAAAGGAAACCAAACTGTAAAGGTCACGAAAACGTCAATCAACTTCTAATTTCGAAAATGGATTTATTTATTGATCCAGTTTTCTCAAAGTGGGTTATCAACTTTATCAAAAAAGTGTCTATCATAAATTGTTCTAGAAGTTCAAAGATAATTTATTTTTTATTTCGAATTCCGAAAGACAGTTTTTTTTCTGTTTCTTTGCGTTCATTGAGTCTTTTCCAAATGTCTGTGGTCTGTGTGTCTTAAACCAGCGAGTGTAGTGTTATGTTACGTATATATTTTTTCCAACCTAACTCGCAAATAAGAGTGCTCATTTGGTGGCATTTTGGTATATTTCCAATCATTGGCAATTTAATAGCATATGTAGCTGCTTCATCGCTCAATTGTGTTTGTATAGTTCCAAGCGACAGTGGGGCAGATGCTAGGGCGTCAGACTCCTTATTGCGATATGGAAGGTGTTATTTCGGTACATAGAACTAATTTACTTTTTTTTCGTTGCTTTTTCGGTGCTGAAATTTAATAGCAACTGTAGCTAAGTTAGTGCAATAAGGTGCAGATATGAGGTTGTTTTTCACGAAGTCGGATGTTTTTCGGATGATATCAATTATTTTATTTTGCGAGTCTTATGTTAACTTTTTCTTTCCTATTTCATTTTGTTTTTTACCTTCTTTAGAGCTTTTTTTTTGTCGTTTTCCCGCTATTTTGCAAATTTAGCTTCGCCTCTGTGTCAAATTAGTGTAAGTTTTCAAAGTTTATGTGTCAAAGAATATAGTGAAGGTTTTTATATAGGTCCTGATGATTTTTTGTCAGGATCAAATTATCACGATCAAATCTGATTATTGGGTTCGTTTCAATTTCGTTTGCTAAGTTCAATTTAACTTTTTAACTTTTGCATTTCATTTACTAAAATAAAGTTAATTTTTGCTCTCCATTTAAGAAAACGGGAATTTCTTGAAAATACGTTTATTTTCAAGATGAATTTTAATAATAAGGTTTTCCAGCGGAGTTGAAAAATTATCAATTCATTCATTTTTCACTAATTGCGCTAGTTTTATGTAAACTGCATTAATCGACAACAAATTTCTGATTTTAAGAGAAATTCAACTATAGTGGTTTATTTTTTCGGATATCCAAAAAAGATATCCGAAAAAAAATAAATCATCTTAGTTAAAATCACTAGCGTTTTAGTTTTAATGGAGCTCATTGACAATTTTCTAGATATTTGTTGGCTGCTTTAAATGGACCAAACTGGTATACGCCAACTTTACATGGTTGTTCAGGTAGTTGGCCAACATGCTGTAAATAAAACTACCATTCCAGCTAACCGAAAATTTATATTTTTGTGCCGCAACAGATTGTCCATTTTGTTATGCAATTGTTACGTAATTCGGAAGTAATTTTGTCTTTATGATGTGGCGGTAGTTCAGCATCCGCCATTATACGTGTTTAGGTTTTAAGAGATTTCTAATTTTTCTATCTTATTCTCTCGGATAAAGAAAAGAAAGCTAATAATGCTACAATGAGGTGCAGATATGAGTTTGTGAAATTCCTAATTTCCAAGTCGGATGTTTTAATCCAGCGCGTATCAAATATTTTATTTTTCAAGCCTTATTTTTACTTTTTCTTTGCTATTTAATTTTTTTAACCTTATTTAGAGCTACTTTTGTCGTTTTCTCGCCTTTTTGCTACTTAAGCATCGCCTCTGTGTTAAACTAGAGTAAGTTTTCAAAGTTCAGGTTTCAAAGAACATAGTGAACGTTTTTTATAGGTCCTGATGATTTTTTGTCAGGATCAAATTATCACGATCAAATCTGATTATTGGATTTTTTAAATTTCATGTGCTAAGTTCAATTCAACTTTTGCATTTCATTTGCTAAATTAATGACAATTTACGCTCTCAAATTAAGAAAACTGAAATTTCCCAAAAATACGTGACTTTAAAGATAATTTTAATAGTTAGGTTCTCCAGCGGAGTTGAAAAATTATCAATGGATTTTTTTTCTCTAATTGGGCTAGTTTTATGTAGAAAGCATTGATCGAAAAAGATTTCTGAACTTTGAAGATTTTCAACTAACGTGATTTTTTTTCGGATATTCAAAAAAGTTTTCCGAAAAAAATAAATCATTTTAGTTAAAATCACGTTAGCTTTTTAATTTTAATTGAGCTCATTGACTTTTTACTAGTTGTTTGTTGGCTGCTTTAAATGGACCAAACTGGTATACGCCAACTTTACATGGTTCTTCAGGTAGTTGGCCAACATGCTGTAACTAATACTACCATTCCAGCTGGCCAAAAATTTACAGTTTTATGCAACAACAGATTGTCACTTCTGTTGTGCAATTGTTACGTAATTCGGATGTAATTTTGGCTGCATGATATTGCGGTTTGTTGAACATCCGGCATTATTCATGTTAAGGCTCTCTGAGATTTTAATTTTTTTTATCGTTTTCTCTAGGATAAAGAGAAGAACGTGACAATAATGCGGTTTGTTTTGGTGAATTATTATTTGATTAAATTTGAAAATACGAAGCTTCATTAACTTTGAACAGCATCTTTGAATAAACTATAAAGGTGTGTATAATATTCTTAATCGTTTAAGATCATGACGATGATCAATAGGAAGACTATCGTTTCAAATGTGCTTTACCTATCTAAATTTGTTCGCGTGTAAGCCTGCAGGTAGGGTGTTGTTAGTGGCGTGAAAAATTCTCTACATTTTTCTTCTATTTTAGGTACAATGTGTTTGGCTTCGTGGGTCAGGGCGTGTTCTCCAACGTCGTCAGAGCCAGAGACACCCTACGAGGAAACCAGCAGGTGGCAATTAAAATCATCCGAAACAACGACCTCATGCACCGCACTGGCCTGAAAGAGCTGGAACTGATGCGCTCACTGAATGACTTCGACAGACAAGACAAGTTCCACATATTGAGACTGTTCAGGAGTTTCTACCACCGAGGTCACTTGTGTCTAGTGTTCGAGGCACTCCACATGAATCTGAGAGAAGTGCTTAAGAAGTATGGCAGGGATGTGGGATTACATATCAAAGCGGTCAGGTCATACAGTCAGCAGATGTTCCTGGCTCTCAAGGTTGGTAGTCGACTCAATCATACAGAAGATCATCGGAGTTAAATTCGCAACAACAACCCTCATTTGCACTTTTATGACAAGATATCCGAAATTATAATTTTAATCTTAGCTTTTTTTTATAAATTATTTGTTCTGGGTTAAATTTGTCCGTAATCAAATTAGAAAAATTAAACATGCAAAATTGTCAAATTTTTTTTTCAAAAAGAAACATTTTTCAAATCTTTAATATAAATTTTTGAACGTTTGACAGCTGGTCTACAGCTATTGATATGAGACTGGGTCTACGCTGAAAAAGTTTTCAGTTATAAATTGGTTTTTTTGTCGGCATTTTTTTTTATTTCGTTCCAATTTTGTCGGGTGACTTGTCGGGTGTTTTATTTCAGTAATTTTTGTCAGTTTTTTTAGTACTGTTTTTTCTTCATATTGCAGAGGTTAAATTTAATGCCTGTTTTCTTTGTTTTTGTATATTCCAAAACTTTTATAAGAAAAGAAAAAAAACTGAAATTGAAAATCTTTTGGATGCTTCATTTTTGATTTTCTAAAATCAAAAAGCGCGTAGAATTTATTTAAATTTCTACTTGTTTATTGCTTTTTATATTGAGCAATTTTATTTGAAATGGGGTCAAGTTGCTGGCATAGCGTTTTGTTTTAGTATGTCAAAACTATTTCGGAAAAAATTGTAAGTTTCCAGCAATTTTGACTTAACTGCTTTGTCTTCAAAGATATGTAGCAAGTTCTGCACGAAATTCAGGAGTGTGGATTTTTCTAGCTGAAAATTTTGAATAAGTTTTTCGTATTTTTATTGGTCTTTTTATTATTACTTTTTTATTGTGATCCACTAGCTCTCTTAAAGTTGCGGATCAACTTCATATTCGATAAGTTTGATGTAATTGGGTTATTTTTAAAAGCTTTAAGAGTTTTTTTTCAGGTTTTGTGCAAGTTTTTTTATGTAATTTCTTTTAAACCTATGCTTTTGTTTTTTTGTAGTTTTTTTCAATGTTCAATTTTTTTTTCAGTTCTTTATTTGCAAGATTTAGAGCAAACTTTTTGAGTACATTCAAAATTATTGTATATCGGTTTTCGACTGAACTTTTCTTCTTGTCGTTTCCATCTATTGGTATTGAGAAAGACATTAATGGAGTTAGTGTTGACCGAATCTTTTTTGTTGTAGATAATTAGTTTTTTAGTTTTTCTTTCTTTTTTAAGCTTACGATTTTTTAACAGAATTTTTCATTTTTTTTCAGACACATTATCAAGAGTAATGAAAGTAGTGAAGACTCTTATATAGGTCTTGCTGATTTTTTTTGTTTTGTTTTTCATGAAAAAGTTTTAAAATATTGATACGCTTAGGTATAATGCGCTTTTTGAGTTCCATTGAAATTCATCTGCTGAAAGTGACATAAATAGCACTCTCCAAATACGAACGTGGAAATGGCGCGAAAAAACGAGAACTATTTCTAGTTTCGAAATTGGAATTCTTTTTTAAGATTTCCCAGCAGAATAAAAACTTTACCTATTGATCCAGTTTTCTCAAGTTGGGTTCATATTATCAAAAAAGTGCCAATGATAAATTGTTCTAGAAATTCAAAGAGCTTAGAGGGCATCTATTTCTTTCGAAGATTTTTTCAAGAACGTCAATGTTTTTTTAATGTTTACTTGCGTTCATTACTCTTTTCCAATCCTAAATATGCTATTTTCTTTTGATATATTTTTTTGTATCGCAAGGGGTGCGAAGCTCAGCTTTTCGTGTGTTACGTTTTTAATGTAAATTGTGATGATTTTTTCTTTTTTGTTCGGGGAAAAGTCTTAATTTTTTGTGTCCCATTCACATTTTCCCATCTTAAAATTCACATTTTGGTGTATTGACTTTTGGTTCCTTGTTAAATTTAGTTCTTTTTGTTTGTTTAAAGGAAGGCAAACTCCACTATCGAACAGCAAATTTGTAACGGCCACGAAAAACAAGATTGATTTCTAGTTTTGAAAATAGATTTTAAGATTAGATTTTCCAGCGAAATACAATTTTAATCTATGATCCAGTTTTCTCAAATTGGGTTAAGTTTATCAAGAAGTGTCAATCATAAATTGTTCTAAATATTTAAATTTTTAAGGCCATCTATTTTTTTCTCGAAAATTTGTAAGTTGGGATAATAAAAAATCAATTCAGTAATTTTTTCTATTCACTTGCGTTCAACTGTCTGTTGGCTATCTTTTCTTTTTTTGTTTAATTTTGCCAATTTTTAGATTGTCAATTCAGAAAAAAATTGCTGTTGAGGAGACGCCAAAATAACTAAATGGGTGTTATGTTACTGGAATTGCAGTAGCATCTTTTTAAATTTATAGCTGATTAATATGATTTTGATTATTTCGAATAGGTATTGAAGAAATGTAACATCATTCACGCTGATATCAAACCAGACAACATATTGGTAAACGAGTCCAAAGTCTGTCTCAAACTATGCGACTTCGGATCCGCTTCTTTCTCCCACGACAACGACATTACACCCTATCTCGTCAGTCGCTTCTACCGAGCACCCGAGATCATGCTCGGACTGAAATACGACTTCGGAATCGATCTGTGGAGCTCGGCAGTTTCGCTTTACGAATTATACACAGGGAAGATCCTGTTTCCAGGCCGAAACAACAACCATATGTTGAAATTATTCCAAGATCTAAAAGGGAAAGTTTCGAGTAAATTGATCAGAAAAGGCGCTTTCGCAAATCAGCACTTCGACCAAAGTGGAAACTTCATATTCCGGGAGATTGATAAAATAACAGAACGAGAAAAAACCACTGTGCTGACTAACATTAATCCATCGAGAGATTTGATGGGGGATTTGTCAGGCAGAGGATCGGAAAAAATGGCCGATAGCCAGACTAAAAAAGTGGCGCAGTTTAAAGATATTCTTGAAAAATGTTTTCCAATTGATCCAACGAAACGGATAACGTTAAATCAAGCTTTGATGCACCCTTTTATCCAAGAGAAAATGGATTAATTTTTTTCTCAAGCGATGAAAAAAACTCGAAGTAGAATTTTGAACATTTGGGAGTAATAGTTAATTTCTTGCAGTTTTTTCCTTGTTTGGTCAGTTATAAATTTTGTTGATCAGAGCCAATTTAGCTTTTCCGCTGATATCTTTTAGTCACGAACTCGTGAACACAATTGTTTGAATTAATCTGTCAAAGATCGAAGTTGTTCAGCGTCCCTTAGTAGCTTGCGGCAGGCGGATATGACTTCAATTTTGACACAAACTTCTGTTGTAGCACCCGGCAATTTGAAACAAATTTGAGCCCACTTTAAAGATCATGCAATTAGCAACAGAATGGCAATTAGGTACTAGACATTTTTTCCTGTATCAAAACTTTGTTAACATGACTCATTTCCTCGGAATCCGAGCAGAATAAACGTGTTCTCCAGCAGACACATTTTGAGCCTGTTTGCATTCGAAGTACCCGTTATGTTCCATGTCTTTTCATTATGTTTGAACAATTATTAACTCCAATTTTGTATAATTATGCTTTTAACGTTTTTAAATATTAATGAACGAAGTGATTTATCTTTTATTTAAGCTGGGTAATTTCTTTAAAAAAAATTTTCTGGAGTTTTGAAATTTGATCAGACTAAAATTTGACGTTAAGCCGCTTGACGGTTGATTATTAATAGTCGATGAAACTATTTTGTATAGGTCTTGACAATTTAGGATTTTTTTTGTTTCGGGGAAAGTCTTGAAATTTGTGCATGCTCAAATTTCACTTTTCGAGATTTGACTTTTGATTTTTTTAAGTTCAGCTCATTTCCTTAATTAAAATGAAGCCAAACTCGACTATCGAACACTGAAAAAATCAGGAAAAGTTTTCTCAAATTGAGTTAAATTGTTCTAAAAGTTAGGGGCATTAGGGGCTAAAGTAGAGTTTTTTTATTGAAGTAAATCTATGTTTTCCGTTTACTTGCCTTCATGACTCGTTTCCAACTGTCTGTTGGTAATGTTTAGCTTTCCAATCGGAATAAAAAAAATTGCAATTTCTAACTGCAATTGAGTTAGTTCTATTACACTTGCGAAGCTTGTGTATTAGTACAAACCTTCTTTTTTTTCCAACCTAAGTCGCAAATATTGGTTCCACTTTTGGGGAACCTTTACAGCTTTTTTGATAGCATGTGGTTTGACATTCGAGTTGTAATAAATTAACACAGTTTCTGCATTTTTAATTCATCAAATGAACTGAAAAAAAATTTGTTTCAAACAACGTCACAATAATACGAACTCTATTTCAGATATTTTCTAAGTCAATATGTCTCGTAGTTTTTTGAAATGCATAATTTATACGTAATGTGGCTTTGTGCTTAGCGATTTGTTACATGCAAAGTTAGTGTGGATGCCTTTTTTTGTTAAATTCCAAATTATTAATTGCAAAACTGAGTCTATTTGTATTTGGTGCTGAATCGCATTGGCAATTTGTTAGCATATGTAGCTTCTTTATTCGTAACTAGTGTTTGTCGGTTGTTAAGCTTGAGCAGCTGAGGGGATAGTGCGTGAGACTCAAAATCTCTTGATTTCAGTAGGTCGCAGATTCGAATCCTACACATAGCCGAGTTTTTACTAATTTGAGGCTTATTTCTACTTTTTCTTTTTTAACTTGATAGAGCTGCCTTTTGGTCGTTTTCTCGCAAGTGTTTGCGAAACTCAGCTTCGCCTCTGTGTCAATAGGTGTTTTTAATTTATGTGAAAAATGTTTCAATCATAAATTGTTCTTGAATTTCAAAGAACAGTGAATGAATTTTGTCTTGACACTTTCAAATGTCTATTGGATATGTATACCCTTGGAATAAGCAATGCTGTTGCAACCGATAACTAGAAGTTTTTCCCGCAAAGAATTTTTTCACTGAGTTTGTTCGTGAAAGCATGACACGTTTGCACGTGTTTAACAATAAATTGAAACCGAGGGTACCATGTGTCGCATTGGTTACACCCGGCCGATGTCTTCAAAGGCTATCAATTTTTGAGTCAATAGGCAGAAATGTTTGTGAGTTTTCCGCTAAAGGTCCGTTCTTTCCTTGCCTTAATACGAGCTCGAATTTTACAACCAAAATTTTGATTTTTTTTCGAGTATTTCATCAGAAAATAAACTTACCTTCTACCACTGAAAATCCGCTTTGTATTTCCCTTACTTGCGCTTTTTCCCGATCACTTCAATCATCGCCGCAATAATACCAAACTCAAGTTTTTAAATTGATATTCGTGATTTTCTTGATTTTGAGACTTTCCAAAAGAAATAGTAAACAATAATTTACTCACATTCACCGTTGTAAAACTTTGAATGGTTTAACGATAGCTTATGTAATCTTTTTATAAGAAAAAACTAGCAGAGCGAAGAAACTCCAAACATTTATACTAAAAACAAACTATACCCTTTGTAATTCAAATACGCCATGCCGAACATTCAAATTCAACTATATGAAAATCAAATTCCACAAATTGTTTAAAATGAAAAAACGGAAGTTCAATTTCAACACAAGAATTTCAATTACAACAAAGACAAATTTTGACTATAACTTAACTGTAGCAAAGCTATAAACAGAACAAATATTTTTGTTAAAATCCAGTAAATTCTGTATCCTCTTTATTTGAGCAATCTATCTGTTTTTTAATCGAATCACATGTTTTTCGTAGTCATGAGGCGCAATGGTTAAGAAATACCACCAAGCACAACGTTTAAAAAGGCCTAGATCAGAAGAACCATCGAATTTTCTAAAGTCTGGAATATTCTAGAATATGACGTCTCTCTTCAGTATTATAGAATCTTTTTGAAAACAGTCTGGAACTCGATTCAACTGCAAGGCTACTCGATGCAAGGTTACTCGATTCAACACAAACGGTGAACTCGATTCAACTGCAAGGCTAGACAATACCTGTCCACTTTTTGTCCAAAAATTCGCGTTTACGGACTGATTTCAGTCTGAAACGAATCAACTAAAAACAGCTTCCGCCATGCTTCGAAAAAGTAACTTTTAGCAAACCCATTTGCGGTCTATAAAATAACTTGAATTATTTCAAAGTTTCAGAGGTGGAATATCTTGCTTTGAAAAAATTCGCGAACTGATTCTTTCACTCTATAAAATAGCTTGAAACGTATCAAACTTTCATAGCTTAAATAGCTTGCTTCGAAGAAAAAATTTTGCGAACCGATTTGCAGTCTATAAAATAGCTTAACATGTTAAAAAGTTTCAGAACTGGAATAGCTTGCTTAGAAAAACTCAATTTTTAGCAAACTGATTTGGTCTTAAATAACTTGAAGTATTTCAAATTTTCTTAGCTTGAATAGGTTGCTTTAAAAAAATTCGCGAACCGATTCGCAGTCTATGAAATAACTTGAATTATATCATATTTTTAGAGCTGGAATATCTTGCCAAGAAAAACTGATGCAGTCTATGAATAGCTTGCCGAATAAAAAATTTTTCGTGAACCGATTCGCTTCACGAATTATTTTGAAGTATTTAAAAGATTCATAGCTGACACAGCTGTTTTAGAAGCACTAATTTTTTTGCCATCCAGCTCGGTTCATGGATTAATTTAAATATTCTTGTGGACTGATTCCCTCTAAGTTTTATAGCTTGCCTAGAAAAACTTTAAATTTTCGCACTTCGATTCGAGCTTCGAATTTTTTTGAACTAATTCATAACTTGAACAGCTTGCGTAGAAAAATTAAGCTTACGCCTATGAAGCTTACGCCTAAATTAAGCTTACGCCTAATTATGCCTATGAAAACCTTTTTTTCGTGAAACCATTCGTTTAGTGAAACAACTTGGAATAAATCAAACTTTTGTTTTTTGGTTAGTTTGCCTGAGAATAACTTTCGTGTGATTTGCTTCTCTCAATTAAATAAGTTGAAATATTTCAAAAACGCATTGATTGAATAGCTTGCATAGGAAAGTGTTAACTGATGCAAAAACAATTCGCTCTATGAAATAATTTGAAATCATTCAAAGTTTCAGCGCTTGAGCAGCCTTCATAGGAAATGTTTGCGAAACCATTCAATTTAGATGACGAAATGTTTTAAATTCATCGCTCGATTAGATCCCTCCGAAAAATTTTCAGGGCCCCGATTTTTGCCCTCCGATTTCCTTCACTTAACAATTTGCCCTCCGATTTCCTTCATTTAACAATTTGCCCTCCAATTTCCTTCATTTAACAATTTGAAAAATTTCAAAGTTTACTTGCTTAAATAGCTTGCGTAGGAACACTTACACTTCTCGGAAAACGTTTTGGTCTGAAAAACAACCTGAAATTTGTCAAATCACCATCGCTTGATTAGCTTCTTAAAATTTTTTTGTTCGTCAATCGGTTCGCTTGATGAAATAACTTAGTTTGTTAGATAGAATGTCTTGCTAAGAAAAAATATATTTTTCCGCGAACTGACTAGCTGTATGAAACAACCTGAATTGTTTCGAAGTTTTTTTCGCTTAAATAGCCTTCTAAGAAAATTTAGTGTTTGCCAACTGATACGCTCTATGAAACGACCTAAATTATTTCAAAATTTTTTCACTTGGAAGGCTTCAATAGAAATTTTTTCGCCATCCAATTTCCTTTGTGAGTTAGCTTGAAATTTTTATGGCTTGAATAGCTTGTTTAAGAAAAATCCTTGTTCGCGAACCGAATTGGTCTATAGAAATAGTTCAAATCTTTATAGCTTGAATTGCTTGCCTATGATAAACTCTCTTTTCGCGAATCAATTCGGTCTCTGAAATAATTTGAAATAATTCTCAAAGTTTCATCGGTTGAATTGCTCAAATTGAAAAACTAAAACTTTGGCCTTCCGATTTCCTTAGTGAAATAACTTCAAATAGTTCAAAGTTTTATGTGAGTTAGCTTGAAATTTTTATGGCTTATATAGCTTGTTTAAGAAAAACTCACTTCTCGGGAACCGATTCAGTGTATGAAATAACTTGAAATATTTCAATGTTTTGTCGGTCTAATGACTCCAATTGAAACACTAAAACTTTCGCCATCCAATTCTCTTCGTGAAATAACTTGCAAACTTTCAAAGTTTCATTGCTTGAGTAGTTTGGGTAGGAAAACCTAAACTTCTCCAAAAAAATTGTTTTGCTCTAAAAACAACTTGAAATTCTTTAAAGTTATCGCTTGATTAGCTTG